TAAAGGTCGTTTCCTTCGCATCCTTGCTGATGCCCGCTAGGCATAACAAGATGTGAACTAATCTGTTTGTTTGATTGTTTCTAAAAATGAATGCTATCTCGCGATGACGTCATCTGTTTTCTTAGCCAATTCAGCTGATATATATTTCCGAATTCGGTTTACACTTCCTCTTAGGCTAACGCTTTCTTCTTTAGCAGTTATTTGACCTTGCCTCCACGACTTGGTCAAATTGACAGGAATGCCTGGAGTCCATGTTATGCATGATAGTCTACCGAGTCGGACCGTGGACTTGGAACATTCCCGGACGTTTCGCCGGCATCGTCAGTAATTCGAGACAGGTCTCTTCGATGAGTCGTAGTGTGCTGCTAAGAATGGCAAGACTAACTGATGATTCCGGCGAAACGTGCGGGTCTTCCTGCCAATACGACCAAGTTGCGAGAACAAGATGAACAAAGTTCTATAGAACGAAAGGAGACCACGAATATACTAAAGTCCACACAATCTTGGTCTTCATATCTTCGATGTAACTCGCTCTTCATTCGCAAGCATAGACATTAGCTAAAATCCGATTTGCTTTCTCCTGGAATGTCTTTATTGAATTTTCTTGCATTTCAAATGCTTGTCAAACTGACGTGGGCCTTGAAATGCTAGAACACCAAAGTGTACTTGGCAACATTTTTCTTTCATCTCCTCGTGACGGTTGAAGCGGTTTTCTCTTTCGGCATTGCTTTAAATGGTTTTGTCTAATTTCGCTCAAACGTGCAGTTGTGCCATCCTCCCCGCACAGCCTACACTCTCAAACAGTACATCTTCGACACTTCGGGAGCTTTCTGGTCGCATTCTCGCCAAGACATCTCCTTCGGACTTGTATTCGGACTTGCGCACAGTCTGCCGTCAAGTCCTGTAGAATTGCGAGGCTGGCATTAATTTTCGTTCGTTGTGCACTTTTGAAGCACACATTTCGCTGGATCTCACGCACGAAGGTGGCCACTTTGATCGGTGAAACAAGATCCTACGGCGTCCATCCGGTCTGGAGGCTTCTTCACTTTGGCGCGAACGACGCACACTCTTCCGGCACGCCTAATGGCTTAATGGCATCTGCTCTCCTCCTGCTTCCAGCACCTTCCAACACCTTCCAGCAACTTCCAGCACCTTGCAGCCTTCCATGCGGTCCGATTTGTCTGAATGACCCGGCAGCTGCGTCTGCCAGTTGGACGTATTCTGCACACGAAGGACCATTTGTAACAGGCGTCACGATCGATTTTTACAAAATTTGGGCAATCGTTTTTTTGCATTTCTTTATGCACCAAATGTCGCGATGACTCATCTGAACAGACTTGAGCAAACTGGTGCTGGAACTGGCCTCACGCTGGCCGATGAGATGGCGATTCGGCGCATTCAAGATTGACACAGCTCGGCTTGCAGACAGGACATTATTCCAGCCTGTGTCCTCATTGCGTATGCGATTGTGAGTGTGTGTGCATGTGCTCGTGTACTTCTCCACTTGTGAGGTTGCCAACGTGATTCGGTGAGTTCAGACATGTACCTGCGTGCTCATCACATCCCGTATTGGTCGGCGGAGTTTATTGATCCTCACCGGCCATCTCAGCAGTCTCAATGCGATAAATGAATAAATAGATTGCATATGCACAAATATTCACGCACACACGTACCTCGTGTATGCATGCATATGAGTAGGTGTGTACACACCAGTGTGTGTTTGTGCGTTTAGGCGATTTGGCCGCCGGGAGTTGTCGCTTTCTGTGATTCACAGGACACGCGAAAATGAGAGGGAGCTCTAAATTATGATACGGTGTTGCCAAAGCTGTCCTCCCCTCCACTGCCCCAATCCATCCTATGCATACCCACATTCAGGAAGACAATGCATGCTCATTCTTCGTGTTCCCGTCCGAATGCCAGCTTGTGCATTGGCAAAATGAATGGGGTTGAGTGAATGAAAAGGTGAGCTATTTCACTGCTTGTTCGTGGGCTGGGAAAGCCACTCTCTAGACGGCCGTTTGTTACCTTTACAACAAAGAGAAATTAATTATTATTTATTTTTCGTTGAAAGCTACCAATTACTTAAATATGTGCAGGACTGGTAATTGAATTATCCCACAATTTGATGTGTAGGCCTCATGTTTTTCCAGTGAATTTCACACAGTCTTACTTTCCAAAAAGGTATTCTCATCGCGGCTAGATTGAACTACACTTTCCACCTCGATCGGGTCGCATCAGCTTCTCTGGAGGGATTCGAACTCTGCCACATTGCCACGAAGGCCACTTTCAACGAGGACCATCTCACGTGCTATGCTGGGATTGTTAATGAAATAAACTTGTATTTATGAGGTATATTCACCATATTTAGTTCAAGGTGATGAAGGACTAGTAGTAGAAAGCAAGTTTGCATTTAATTTCACTTATAGCGTTAGAAAAGCTACTTTTAAACGAAACGTAAGTAGTGTAGTCAAATGTGATGGCAAATACAAGTTTTTCGTATTTAAGTAGAGTTTCGACAGTACCAGTAAATCAGTAATATGAGATGTATTCATCCAATTTCGTTTAAGGGGATGAAGGACTGGTGGAAGAAGAATTTTCCCACAATGCTATGAGTTGAGCTGACGTTTCCATATTATTCTCATATGGTAGTCTCGAGACTCTACTTAAATACGAAAAAGTTGTATTTGCCATCGCATTTGACTACACTACTTATTTTTAGTTTAAAAGTAGCTTTTCTAGACTATAAGTGAAATTAACTGCAAACTAAGGTTTCACTAGTAGTCCTTCATTACCTTAAACTAAATATGATGAATATATGAAGACCAAGATGTTGTGACCTCTCTTATGGTCGTAGTCTCCTTTCGATTTATAGAAGTGGGTTGTCGCAACTTGGTCTTGTTGTCAGGGCGACTATGTAGAACGCACCTAGTCCGAAGTCGTAGTTTTCATGATTCCCAGCATCTGACAGTGGACTTTATAAATTCTCAAACGTTTCGCCGGCATCGTAGTCGGCACTAAGCTACGAACTCGTCAAAGAGACAAGTGAAGTCAACGGTTACACTATCACTCCTCTTTCTGACATTGTCTATCTATCTACTCATTACCCTCTTATCCCACTGCCAAGTTCGTAGCTTGGTGCGGCGACTGGCAAAGCTCACTGAATGCCGACTACGATGCCGGCGAAACGTTTGAGAATGTATCAAGTCCACTGTCTGATGCTGGGAATCATGAAAACTACTATGGCAGACGACTTCGGACTAGGCGCGTTCTACCAAGTCACCCTGACAACAAGACCAAGTTGCGAGAACGAGGTCAACCCACTTCTATAAATATGGTGAACATTCCTCATATATCTGTTGAATTGTGCCAGGAAGTCCATGCCAAGCCTTCATCTCTGCCTCCGTGG